CCTTGGAAAAGGAGCATTTTATTCATACTTTTATAACTAACAAGAAGAATGGTTCATAGCTATAAGGTAAGCTTTGTAATCGTATTTTTAGTAATTAATTTATTATTAAAGTGACAGGATATTCCTGCTGGGTTCCCCCCGCTGCACTATATGGAGAATAGAAAAGCAGCACCTTATTTAACACATAAGACACTCATCCTCATGCAGAAGTGTGAACTCTGAGATTCCTATTTTGTGACCCAGGGCTGGTGGCTTGAATTGAGATCAATGTACCATTACAGGAGTTGGTGTCACTTGAGGATGTTGCTGTGGACTTCACCTGGGAGGAGTGGAGGGACTTGAATGATGCTCAGAGGACTTTGTACAGGGATGTGATGCTGGAAACCTATAGCAGCCTGGTGTCATTGGGTGAGTTAAACTCCCCACTAACTTTCAGGAGAAACATTTTATTTTTTTTATAAAAATAGGAATGATTTATAGGGTTTTATACTATTTGGTAAAATTACATTTCATGAAAAACATGTCATCCCTATCTAACAAAAGTTTCAAATTGGCCTCTTTAGTGTATAATTTCTGGAGCTGAGCTCTTGTGATTCTTCCAAGGATTTGGCTTTACAATTTTATAAAGTCCCATATTACTTTCCATTAACAGGGTACTGCATTAGTAAACCTGAGGTGATCCTCAAGTTGGAGAAAGGAGCAGAGCCATGGATAAGAAAAGAATACCCAAAGCAGTGCCTCCCAGGTTAGTAAGCACATCCTGGACAGAGTCCGGGAAGAGTAAAACCCCGCAGATCTTGACTTTGTTCAGCTGTTTCTAGCAGTTATTCCACAGGTCCGTGAGCTGGGGCTGGCTCATCTCCTTGCATTAAACACATGTATTATGTAATCTCTCAGATGGACTCATACGTATATATCTCCATCTTTTATTTTGCTGTTTTTTTCAATGTATTTTCCTAAAATATAATCCCTACATTTCTCTTCTTTGACATTTATTTTTGCTATTCATCTTTTCGATATTCTCAGTTCCCCTCATGTCCTGCATTCTCATGGACATTGGTTTTCAGACTCTGTCCTTTCATGTTACTTAAAACAGAATATCTGTAACTGGTAATTTGTGAAGAAACAAACTCTATAACTTACAGTCTGTTCTGGAGGCTGAGCATTCCAAGGTCTAGGGGCTGCATGTGGTAAGGGCCTTGTTTTTGGTGGTGATTCTTGGCAGAATCCCAAAGTAGTGCAGGATATCACATAAGAAGTTGATAAAATAAGGAAAGAGGCCCAAATATGAGCCTTCTATACCACCACATCAGAAATTATGGAGCTGAGGCAGACTTAGCACAGGGCATGGAAAAGGAGAGTTCTTGATTTTATAGAGGAACCAGAAGACTCATGGTATGAAGGTAAAGTGAACCGAGGGTTTCAAGTTGAGGGTCTGAGATTGTTGTTTGGAAGTGGAATTTGAAGTTACTATTTTCCTCTTCTCTTAGTAGAAATCATTCTAAAATGACAAATAAATTTACAAATGTATAGAAGGCTATTTTTTATGAGCATAGTAGCCATCCAAAACTCCAGTGCATAATACTGAAGCTTTCATGAGCAATGAATTATCAAGTGGGAGTGNGCTCTTGTCATATTTGGCTTTACAGTTTTATAAAGTCCCATATTACTTCCCATTAACAGGGCACTGCATTAATAAACCTGAGGTGATCCTGAAGTCGGAGAAAGGAGCAGAGCCATGGATAAGAAAAGAATACCCAAAGCAGTGTCTCCCAGGTTAGTAAGCACATCCTGGACAGAGTCCGGGAAGAGTAAAACCCCGCAGATCTT